TAAAAAAAAAAAAAAAAACACTACATGAATAACAAAAACGTTATATCTGAAACAATACGAGACAACGCGTACATATCCATCACAAAAATTGCATGTCGGCGTCTGTATACGAAAGCGGGAGATAGGAAGTTGTATGAAAATTGATCAAAGCATCACCTATCGTAGCGTAAAACCCAACATTTGAATGTGCCACTACTTCGGAGAACAATTGACACTTGACCCACAATCAATTTTTTTTTTTTTTAGTCGACGATACCAACGCCACCATACCAGCACGGTAGAACCGTGTACTCATCTATTCATTGTTAGTAAGTACCGTATATTTATATATACATGTATCTGGGTATTAACTCGCGACATTGATCAGTACACGTGACATAATATACGTATATGTGTAAATATAGAACCACCCTGAGTTACATCAAATTCGATTTTGGTGACGCAACGTTGAATTTAATCTATCGAACAATAAGCTACTAATTTGCAGAATAATATAATTTTGGATAACACAGAATGTGATGTCGAAAATGACAAAATTATCGCATGTTTTGTTACAAAACATACAAAATGTAAGTTTAATTTATTTTATTTTGTGAACACACGCGAAAATAGACACGATAGTTTATTTTCACAGCTGATTGTACGCGCGATGCGAAACGTATATTATTGTTCGTCCTTATGATAATACGTCATCTTGGCTTTAATCCGCTTTAATATCACGAACACTTTCATATACGTATTGTGCACAAATACGGTCGTGCGTAACGCGAGGAGAGAGGGGATTAAAATCATTGATCGACGACTTCGTGGCGTGCCACCTGATTCCGAGGAAAAACGTCAACAAACCTGTGCAGTCTGGAAAAAAAATACGGCTACCAGTTAAAACTCACACATGACGCAACGTGTAACGTCGTGAGAAAGCAGCGCGAATTTAACACGCAGTTCGAGAGCGCGCGTAAAGGGAGAAAACACACACGCGTGCTAGAGTGGCGAAATAGAAAGGCGGCACCGCGGAAGCGATTTCACTCACAATACAAGAGATACGCATTCCTCTATAGCTTTAAACTATTTTACGGTGTAAGGTGCACAGTGAGATTTATCGCCATCAACAAACACGCCTATACAACCGGTTTGCTCTAATGTGCGTAACTAAACGAGGATTGTTTTATCCGTACGAAATACCGCAAATAAACGAGAAAAACTTCAGTGCGTTTTCTATGTTGTAAAAAAAAAAAAAAAAACTGTAGTAAAATATGCAAAATTGTTTTCCACGTGGCAAATACGTACAGGCAGGTACTCGAGTTATTCGAGTGAAACGCATCGTTTTAAAGACGAAATGGAAGAATAAACAAATGTATCGTCGTTATTCCGCACAAATATTTCTCGTCGCGGTTATCCTTCTTTGCTTTTCTAAAGTTGCAAAGAAATTTGCGGTTGGCAAGCTACACCGGAGCCTTTTGCGTACGGTATTGGTTGTCGTTCCGCGACGTTGTGATTTTTTTTTTTTTTTTTTTTAAATGCATTTCACACAGCCGTTTGCCGAGACTCGAGAAACACGTACAATCGATATCTCGTATGTTTCTTTGGATCCGTGGGACCGTCGACGTCAGTTTTCGAGAATTCTAGTGAAACCTACGAGCGCAATCGTACACTGCCTAAACGAGGCCGAAAGAAAAAGGTCAGCTTCATTGTGAGCGAAATTCAATACCTTCCTACCGAGCACGACTGAGAACGAACAAAGAGAGGGAAGCTTGCCTTCTGAACAACCAGATAGTTCACATGTGTCCGGAAAAGCCGGTATTCCTCTTCGTTTTTCGAGCGCTTACTTGCACGCTCGACACATGACCGAACGCGTGTGCAAAAATAACGCGTGCAACTCCGAAACAAAAAGCTTCTCACACTCCACGTGTACGTTTCTCTCTATGTTCAGTCAAATAAAAATTTGAATGCCTGCGGTTTCGCGTTATTTTAGATAGATATGTCGACAACAGAGAATATTCGGAAAAGAGCAAAATTCTTTTTTGTGAAAAATATAAAATTCAGTGTATATTCAATATGGCTTATATTTCTATTTTTATATTTAACGATGTAACTGATGTAATTTTCTTTGCGATTTTGCGACTAATTCCGATAAACAATTTTACAATGTTGCTCACCTATTTGATATTTATAAATTATCGTATGCCAATCCAGAAGCGAGATGCTACACTGCTTTCACTTGACTGACGCGTTGCGTCGAACGCGTGTGTCTACTTTTTTTTCTCTTTTCCTCTCTTTTACTATCAAAATAAATTCGAGAGAATTTCTATCATTCGTTTTCTTGATACAAGTCATTCATCGACCAACTAGAGAGAGGCGTTTCTCCGAGCGCTCTGTTCCGAAAACGAACTGGTGTTTCGTGTCAGTTGTCTCGCTTACGTTCCCTTGTCCTTTCCCTTTCTCTTTCGTCCTCTCTTTCCCACTCTCTGCGTTTCTTACTATATTTCGTTCGCAGTACAAGATGAACATAACCTACAATATAACCTACACACTCTCTTTCTCTCTCTCTTTCTAGTGTTGTGGGAACAAAGATTCACGCCGGCAAAGAGATAGCGGACGCTCAAGGACATTTATCGTTGAGTTTTGCGAGGCTCACGCGATTTTGTCCCGCGTGCGTTGACGCAACACGGAAACGGGCGGGAATTAGAGACAGACAAAGTGAAAGAAAGAGAAAGAGAGGAAAGGAATTCCAATAGGATGCGCATGATCATTGAAAACTGCGCGTCGACTAGAAAAAAAGCCACGTGTTGAAATTACACAAAATTAAGATCACGCAAAGAAGAAAACAAAAAAATGTTATCAATTTCTTGTAGCACAAAATAAAAGAAAACGATCTAGAGCCATATTTTTGGATTAAAAAACGATTAGCATGTGGATGCAATTGGATTCGTATTACTAGAGTGCATTTGCATTTCTAAAAGTGTCTCGTGACTTTCGTGATAAATTACGGAGAGAAAGTACACGATAAAGGGGAACATGAGAGATAAAGCTATGCGCGAACAGCATCTGCTGTTCATCTCGCCGCATTATTCTCCGATTGTTTCGAGGCGAATCGCGGCGCGCGGGTACGCGCCGATGAAGAGAGCGTGGGTCTGTCGACCCGGCGCCTGCTATCGAACCGACGCCTCCGAGAGCTTTTTGCGCAACTAAAAGCCAGGAACACACAAAAACTTAAGATCCAAGCACTAAACAAATCAATCAATCAATCAATCACAGATCGGCATTCTCTGAGAAATGTAAGCTATTTTCAAAAGAATATTTTCATTGATTTCTTTGACGCTTAAGTTCTTTCGTGTGTTCCCGCTCCAAAATCTCGCGCAAACGATACACAAGGAGCGTACAGTGTAATACACACAGTGTGTTTATTAATTCAAGAGCGAAATCGAGAGACGGTTCTTGTCTCGTCTGTCGTCGCCCATCACATGCTCTCTCCTTGCAGCTCGTTGTTATCGACGATAGAAAAGCAAAAACATGACAGAAACACTTACAGGGTAGTACATCCCTTGCGGAGGAAGGAAAAACGCCCCAGAGCCCCACAGTTTGAGGCCGTTTTGCTCCACCGTTGTGCAAGAAAACAAATCCGTCACTCCGTACCACTGCCTCCCCCGCCTCCTCCACCGCCACCACCACCGCCGCCTCCTTCTTTCGCTCTTCCTCTACTGGCACTCGTATCTCTTTCCTGCCGCAGTTTGGACACACTACGCGCTGCTCGTCGTCGCGGCACGTCGTCTATGTGTCGTACGCGACACGGTGGTTAAAAGCATAAACGGAAACTGACCAACAGCGACACCGACGCTGATGGTGTACTACGTCCACTCCCACACTCAACGTACGGACGAACACACGCGAGAACACATACGCACGATGAGGGCACGGAAATCGTGAATGTTAGGAGGAGCACAAAGCAACAGCAAGACGCACGGCGGAGCTTTTCGTTGTGGGGATCGAGCGACGGCGTAACGCGCACAGTCCCCTCGCCACCCTCGGCACTCTTCGGTCCTGTTCCTGTTTCTCTCTCGGATATCCGTTCGTTCACGCTCCTCCGAATCTCTTTTTTTTCTCTCTCTCTCTTTCTTTTTTCGCTTGTTTGACCGCCGTTCACAATTCTATTTCACGACCGCCACCGAACGTGGTCCCGCTGTGACTAACAACGATCCCGCTATCAACCGGCGCCATTGACTGCCAGCGCCACCATTTCACTGACACGCCGCTCGCGGCGCCGCCCCGCGGTGGCTCCCACGTACTACGAAAGTCAATCTCGGAGCGCGTAAATCAAAACCACGAACAATGCGCGGTCAATTCTTTCTTTAAACGTTTCTGCACTTTTCAATCAAATAAGTCGCACAAACAAACTCAATTGTCAATCTTGAGATATGTCTTTGTTATAAAAATTATCTTTGCAACTCCTTTCATATGCGGATGTCTCACTAAAATTGCTTATTTACATTTGTGTAAAAAATAAAAAATGAAAAAATGTTTAAATACTAATTTGTTCGGAAAATTTGTAATGTTTTCTAATAGGTAGCATTAACAAAGATAGCAATATGTGCACGGAACATCGTGCAAATATTAAAAACACCAAACAATACCGTGCATGTGAGTACAGAAGCTGCAATGCGCCTTTTTCATTTAAAAAATGTTACATAGTTTCCGAACAACAGTTGTTTATGCAAAATCGATTTAAAAAACAATTTGCCGCAGGTTTTGAACAAATTGCGGTCGAGTCGCTCTCCGCGAGACTGAAATGCAATAAAACGAGAGGTGCGAAGACGCTCGACGGAAAAGAGCAATAATAATCAGTTCTTCGTTTTTACTTTCACTAGAAGAACGTGTCCGAGGCAAGCCAATTATACATGATTGCGGAATTGTTCGTTGCTCGTTACTCGTCTTCGCGTAATCACCGACTCGCGCACCTGCGCGCCTCTTTCGTAGCGCGTGCTCATTGTGTTTTAATATATAT